TATATCCCACGTCCTTCCCTGATGATGTGTAAAAAATTCCTGGTCTAAAAAAATCATTACTCTGCCAAAAATAGGGGGGGGAGGCGGCGTACGCCCCCCACGTCCCCCCCCTGGATCCGGCCCTGAGTATTAGTATTATTAGTATTATAAATACAAGTATCATTATTGTCATTATCATTATCATTTCATTATTATTGTCATTATTATCATTATTTTTATTATTGTTATTATTATTATTATCATCATTATTATTATTGACATGATTATTATTGTTATTATTATCGTTATTATTATTAATATTATCAATATTATCATCATTATCATTATTATTTTTTCCTAATTTTAATAGTAGTAGTAGCAGTAGCATTTTTCTTGATTCATATGATCCACTTCGGTTATGTATCTTTTATGCCATAACAATTTTATGATTTATAACCCTATTCGAGTTAACGTTTTACATACATAATACAACTATAAACAGTCCTGAGTACAACACCGAATTGGCCTAACACTGATAAACAATTTCCTTCTTCGGTTTTATAATACAACTCCCATTGAAATAAAATAAACGAATAAAATAAATGAAAATGATAATACGTACTTGTGAGGGTCATTTCGAATCCTTTTGCAACGGTATTGCCATCCCCAAAGGAACTTATAAAGCACGCTGTTGTCGTTGCGTCAGGCTCTGCCGCGTCCGACTTGATCATGAAGTGAGTGTCTAAAGTCAAATCGTCACAGATGACTCTGGAATAAACGAGTTAAAACCAGGTTCAGAATGTTTTTTTGTTTTTTTTTTGTATACTGTTCCAACTGCAAATACCTTCCAGTATTTTACAGGGTGGGTTTTTCTAGTACCTACACGGATGTGTGTTTTACCATTCAGTATGAATACAAAAGACAAAAAAAAAAGAAAAAAAAAAGGCGTAGTGAAAACACTTCCTTAAAACACAGGCAAACACACAAAAAAAAATCATAATACATAAATAAATAAATGAATAAACGTCTCTTCATTCAAACCAGAAATGTTTAGATACAGTACTTATCGTAAAGATCATCAGACGAGTCGATATCCAGCCG